TTTTTTTTTTTCTCCGGTACCGGGAACCGAACTCATGACCTTGCACTTGCCAGGCAGGCGCTTTGCCGCTGAGCTAAATCCCCAGCCCCGAAGAGAAGTCATTCTTAGTGGGAATCTGCCAGCCCAGGGGGCAATGAGAATAGAGTATGCCCCAGCCAAGCAGTGCTTCTCACCTCTCTCTCCTACCTGCCTCCTAGTGTGAAAAGCCTAAGACAACCTGTGAAGGAGAGAAAGAGTGGATGAGAAAAGAAAGAAGCTGATCAAGATATCTCTGTCATTGCAGCTACTACCTGTAAAGTAGGATCTTGAGTTGACAAAGAAAGGAATTTTAACATTTTATTAGTAGATAGGGTGACACATGACTTTCATTACTGGGCTGAATTATTTGATAGGATGCTAATTTAAATTTTTAGATGGAACTGTTTTTATGCCTGGAAGTGACTTGAAAACAAAAGGAGAGGGGGTGCTGAATTACTTACAATTTTTGTACTTTGTGATGTTAAATTGATATACATTCTAGTAGAATTTTTAAATTTTGTACTTTGAATTTTGTTCTTTTCCTCATCTAGGCTCATGCAGTACAAAGTTCTCTTGTGATGCTGGGAAGTAGCTGCAAGCCTCAGCCCCAGGGGCCATGAAATCATAAGCAAAACAACTGGAACTCTGCAGTGCAGTTTTGACACTATTTTTGGAAATAAATATTCAATAAATTAGATGGGATATTCATCATGAAACAGAGCTTTGCTGGATAATTTCACCCAACTGTAGGATAATATATTCTAGATATGTTTAAGGTAGATGAGGCTAAGCTATGATATTCATAGACTAGTTGTGCACACTGTATTTATACTATCGGTATTTTCAATTTGTGAAGGGTTTATCAGAGTATAATCCCATTGTAAGTCCAGGAATACCCGTCTATGTAAGATCTGCTGTGATCTGGAAAAATTAGGGCCCTGCCTCAAGAAGTCCATTATAGAAACGGATTCCAACATGGACAATTAGAGATTAGAGATACATGGAGGAAGTCACCAAAAAAATCTTGGAATTCTGAAACAAGGGAGGCAATCACACATAGACACATAAAGTCAATATGAAAGATGAATCCTCTAGATCAAACCAAATATCTGAATTCTTCAAAAAGGAAAACAGCACTACTGCTGGTCCATGCCTTTACCTGGAAGCATGCAACCTTTCCAGCGGTTCTAACAGCCCGAGGAAAGGAAACAGCAGGATGGGAGCAGACTCCTGGGATAGGCTATTACATACACATCCTCTCATACAGGAGAGGAAACCCAGCACGGGGACAACTGTGTTTGGGGTCCCAGAGAAGCCATCAAGAATAGCTGGAGAAAAAGAGGACAGTCACATGAAAACGACAGCCACTCCCCATCATCATCCTCCCAACACTGGGGAACACTGTGTTCCAACAGCATCCTACCCCCCATCCTCTCCCTGGCATCAACAAAGGAAACCCCCCTTAGGCATAGAGAAGTTGAATACCACAAACTGTGGGTGGCACTGGGACCAACAGATTACATCCCTGAGGGACAGTGCAGAGATGAAGCTGGGATTTACTCAGTAGTAAGGGGAGGGAGAGTAGGAGGTCATTGGTGGAAGTTGAAGGAAAGCCAGCTTTTGGGCAAACTAGTTTACACCCTCCTCTTCCCAAATTAATTGAGGTGGTTGGACTTTGAGATAGAGACAAAGATATGCAGTTATCCATGCCTGAAGCAGAACTTACAGACAAAAGGTAAGTCAAGGGAGCCTGACAGCCCCTGTGATGCCCAGGGGGGCAGTCAAGAAGGGTGCAAGCAGACAGGGAAACTGAAGCTGCTGCACACAAGTGGACTATGGCTGCAGTGGGCAGGAACCGTGCAGACACTCTGGTCCTGTCATACCGTGCCCATGTTGGGTTTCTGTGTGTTTTCCAGCTTGTGTGTCTCCTCTGAGTTCTCTCCAATCTTTCTTTCTTTCTTTCTTTTTCTTTCTTTCTTTCTTTCTTTCTTTCTTTCTTTCTTTCTTTCTTTCTTTCTTTCTTTCTTTCTTCCTTCCTTCTTTCCT